TTTTTAGGATGTGTGTGGTGACTTGTGAAAGCTTGCAAAGTGAGGCACCCGGTAACTCTGTTTTCAGGGACTTAGTAGTTTTCACTAAGTCTGGGATTATTTAGTTCATGATGCCATATGTTCTTGTTGTTTCCTAGTGATCCGTGCCTCTTTTGAGGATGATCAGTAAAGGAGTTTTGTTAATCTTGTTATGCTCTATCCATCCATGTCTTTACTTGCAATTGTGGAGCACCCTATCTTGAGTCAATCGAGCTCTACTTTTGCTTCGTGGTGAATCAGGGCAGATCGTCAACTTGTTTGCGATTTTGCCGATGGTATTGTAATTGATCCGTGCATGCTATGCCATTGTTCTTGCCATGTATAGCTAGCATTTTGTGCCTTATTGTTGGATGTATGCTTGCCTTGCCATGACTTGCACCGTAGTGAGTGCATCGAGCTCATTTACATGCCTTCGTGAGTTATATTTCAGCATGTCTCAGTTTTCACTGTCTGAAAACTGATTGTGTTTTAGCTATGTTCGTGTGCTCGTTTATATATTTTGTGATCCCTTTTGGCCCTAGGTCACTTAGGGACTTTTGTTAAGCTTGTTGAGTAGCTCCATGCCATGTTCTTATTTGTCTTAATCAGGTCGTGTTTCATGTTGTTTTGCTGCTCCGAAGAGAGCTTCATGATCTGAAATTTCAGACAAGTGTTGATTTCACTAAGTCTGAAATCTGTTTTGCATTTGCGTTTTTGCCATGCTTGTTTGAACCTGTTAATGGATGATTTGGCCGTAGCTCAGTGCTAGACTTTTGTTAAGCATCTTGTGTGCATCCCTTCCATGTATTTTATTGTCATGTTGGAGTGTTGTAGCATGTTCATATCATTGCATTTAGATGCCTACTTGCTGTAAATCGTAGACCGGTGTCATATCTTAAAACGCTTGCCATTTCCAAACCGTAACTCCGATTCCGATGATCTTTATATCGTTTTCAAGCGATTTCATCTCATATTTCCAGTGGCACCCTTGGAATTCCAAGTTGAGGCCAGGTTCACGCAATTCCTGTCATATTTTGCATTTTACATCCCGCATCGCATCCCGCATAGCATATCATCATTTCATCATATTGCTTGGTCTTGCACGTGGTTGATTGTATCCTTGTTGCTTGTTTGTCTTGTTGGGTAGAACCGGGAGACGAGTTCGCTAACGAGGAGCCCGTTGAGTTTGCTTTTGAGGATCTAGTCAACTCTGACAACTGTGCATGCAAGATGATCATACCCTCGAAATCACTACTATCTTTGCTATGCTAGTTTGCTCGCTCTTTTGCTATGCCAATGCTACGACGCCTACCATTTGCTTGTCAGCCTCCCAATTGCCATGTCAAACCTCTAACCCACCTTGTCCTAATAAACCGTTGATTGGCTATGTTACCGCTTTGCTCAGCCCCTCTTAAAGCGTTGTTAGTTGCAGGTGAAGATTGGAGGCCGTTCCTTGTTGGGACATTTTTTTTATTTAATTGTTGGGATATCATTATATTGCTATGTTATCTTAATGCATCTATATACTTGGTAAAGGGTGGAAGGCTCGGCCTCTCGCCTAGTGTTTTGTTCCACTCTTGCCGCCCTAGTTTCCGTCATATCGGTGTTATGTTTCCGGATTTTGCGTTCCTTACGCGGTTGGGTTATAATGGGAACCCCTTGATATTTCGCCTTGATTAAAGCTTTTCCAGCAATGCCCAACCTTGGTTTACCATTTGCCAACTAGCCTTTTCTTTCCCTTGGGTTCTGCAGACTCAAGGGTCATCTTATTTTACCCCCCCCCCGGGCCAGTGCTCCTCTGAGTGTTGGTCCACCTGTCAGCTGTCGGTGGCCACCAGGGGCAACTCTGGGCTGGCCTACCCGTACCTAAGACAATCTGAGTGTGCCCTGAGAAAGAGATATGTGCAGCTCCTATCGGGATTTGTCGGCACATTCGGGCGGTGTTGCTGGTCTTGTTTTAACCTGTCGAAGCGTCTTGAGTTACCGAGATACCGAGTCTGATCGGAACATCTTGGGAGGAGGTCTATTCCTTCGTTGACTGTGAGAGCTTGTCACGGGCTAAGTTGGGACTCCCCTGCAGGGATTGAACTTTCGAAAGTCGTGCCCGCGGTTATGGGCAGATGGGAATTTGTTAATGTCCGGTTGTAGATAACTTGAACCTTAATTAATTAAAATGAATCAACTGAGTGTGTTCCCGTTATGGCCTCTTCTCGGCGGAGTCCGGGAAGTGGACACGGTGTTGGAGTAATGTTTGCGCAGGTTGCTCTCTAGTTTCTCGCTCGTGCTTTGCCTCCTCTTCTCGCTCTCTTTTGCAAATAAGATAGCCACCATATATGCTAGTCGCTTGCTGCAGCTCCACATATATTTGCCTTACCCTTCCTATAAGCTTAAATAGTCTTGATCGCGAGGGTGCGAGATTGCTGAGTCCCTGTGGCTCACATATACTATAAATCCAGATGCAGGTCCAGGTGATTCCGCTCCAGGTGACGAGTACGAGCTCAAGTGGGAGTTCGACGAGGACTCTCAGTGTTATTATGTTTCCTTTCCCGATGATCAGTAGTGGTGCCCAGTTGGGGGTGATTGGGACCGTGTCGCATGTTGGGTTCTCTTCTATTTTGGCACCACAGTCGGGCCATGAGTGTTTTGGATGATGTAATGTTATTTATGTTCTTGATTGACGTGGCGAGTGTAAGCCAACTATGTTCTCCTCTTTATTATTCATATTACCTGGGATGTTGTGAAGATTGCCTAACTTGCGACATATGCCTTCAATGCGATTATGTCTCTAAGTCGTGCCTCGACACGTGGGAGCTATAGTCGCATCGAGGGTGTTACATCCTGCATATGCATTATAAAACTCATATGCTATATCTTCACTCTCAAATTCCATTCCTATCTCTGGTTTTAACCTTTTGCTGTAACAATCGTCTATGTTTCGACCCGCCTCTCCCACATTTGTGGTCTCATGATCTACATAACATCAAAATATCATATACTAATTAGTTCATGGACGACACATTTTTGTAAAAAAACATGATATTCAGACTCATGTTATAGTGAAACCTAAACATCACTTCAAGATGGGACAACATATTTTGCCAAATATCACACTGTATTCATACGAGCATTAGCAAAACACTCTCCTTTTTCTTAGATACAATAATCTCTATCATTACAATTGGCACAAAAAACCCACAAGAAACAGACCTATGGAAGATGAATTAAGTACGAGGAGCTAAGTCTCAAGGATTAATTTGCATGTCAAAGATTAAGCTCTTCCTTTGTTTCTGTTTAATCTTGTCTCCTCCATATGATGAGAGTGTTGATAATTTGCAGATTCAAGACACAACAACAAACTTATGGATGATGAAGTCGCGGGAGCTCCTTCCATGCCTAAGAACACCGTAGATGCTGGTCCACGTGAGAGGGCAATTCTCTATCGATCCTGATCTATTCTTCTGTGATCCACAATGGAGAGGAGAAAGGATGTTGGAGATTTTGGCGGCAGTCCGTTGATACGCGGGAGAAAGAAAGGCAGTTTTGCCGATTTTTCGTAATTACAGAGATAGGGTGTGGTTGTTTTAGTGGTCGGGTCCACCAGGCCACGTGTTGGCCGCTGGTTGGCCCTGCACGATAGTGCATGCAAGGATCCCAGCAGGAGAGCCTGACCCCTGGTCTTGGTTCAAGTTGGACCAACCCACCATGCTCACCCTATGTGATTGGGCGACTATTCTGCCTCATCGTGTTAGATGGGATTTGCCTCCTTCGATTCTGCCTTCAGTGAGTGGCTCAAGCATCAAGGAAGGAAATTATGCTTGTGGGCTATTGGCTACCACTATGGACTAAGGAGAAGAAACACGGGAGCAGCCTAGCTTGGTCCAATTAAGGGCTCCTTTGATTTAGGAGAGTTTTACATGAATTTTGGAGGATTTGGATCCCTAGTTTTGTTCCTGTGTCAGTCGTTTGATTTGAGTTGTAGGATTATATCCTTAGGAATTTTTCCTCAAGATTTGTTTGCACTCTGTTCGAAATAAAATTTTCAATCCCTCAAACTTCCTCCATCCAAATTTCTATAGGATTCAAGATGACATGACACTCTAATTTCATTTATCCTATTCCAACATTGTGAGAATCCTTTGAAAAGCCGATTTTTAGCTAGATCAATGTTCCCGGCGTTGCAGCAAATTTTGCAACTTTGGAAGCTCATTGGAGTTCATGCATGCTACGACACCGAGCTCGACCACTGCGCAGGGTGCATGTATGCAGAGGCCGGTGCATGTATGCAGAGGCGGAGGCAGAAACTTTGGATTAGGGGGGCCAAGTGATACTAAAACAGGTTGGGGAGGGCCAAATCTTAGAAAAGTAGATGCTTATCAGTAAAAAAATTATGATGCTACACTATTCATCAGTAATTTAGTAGCAACAACGTGATGTTAGGGGGGGGGCCAGGGCCCCTACTGGCACCCCCTGTCTCCGCCACTGCAGATGTATGATGAATTCATTCATTGGTCAACACATAAAAGAAACTATGAATATTTTTTAAATCAGCGATAATTAATATGGATTGGAGGGAGTAATATAACTCAAACAGTGTTTTACACAAGTGACATCAAAAACAATTTTGAAGGGTTATATGAAGATTTTCCATGCATGGTGTAACAAAAATTGTACACACTAGAAACAGATTTCACAAAGATAGCAAGCATCTAACTGTTTTTCTATAAGATTTTGGGATCATTTTATCTCTCTACATTTTGTAATATTCTAAAAATTATTGTTTTTATTTTTCTCAAATTTCAGAAAAATAATCTTTTCTTCTCGAATTTCAGAAAAATAATCAAAAGCAACAAATGGCCGGCCCATGAGGCCATCCCTGTAGCGGGGCTCCTTGCGGGGCGGATGGTCCCTATCTCTCGCAAGAAGCGGAGAATAGGAGCGGTGGTGACAGTGAGGACTGTTTTCCCAAGTCCAAGTGGATAACCATGCCGCTCGCCATTGCCGTCCCCTCGGCGGCGGCGCTCCGGCGGCCATATCACTTCCGCTTTCTCCACCCTCCCAGAAAGCTTAGCCTATCGAGAACACGCTGCGCCCCTTCGCCCCCGGCAGAGGCGCAGCCAGTGCCTCCGCAACCCCGGCGATACCCGAGGCAGTACCCAGGCGAGGCGGTGGGCGTTGCCGAGGAGATGCGGTTCGTCGCCATGCGCCTCCGCAACACTAAGCGCACTACTCGTAAGGGCAATAATAGGGCTGACGGATCCGGGGAGGACGATGAATCGAGGGAGGATGAGGTGGAGGACAACGACGACATGGACGAGGAGGGAAACGACGAAGTGAAGGAGGAGGAGGAGGAGGAGGAGGAGGAGGACAACCATGAAGTGGAGGAGTGGATGCCCAGCATGGAAGGGTTCGTGGGCTACCTTGTGGATAGCAAGCTTGTCTTCGACACCGTTGAGCGGATCATAGCCGGGTCTACGGACGTCGCCTGTGAGTGAGATCTTTCTTCCCCATTCTTTGCTACAGTTCTTGTTCTTGTCAATTGCTGCAGCCAGCCAGCAATTAGTGCAGATGTTCTTTTCCAGAGCGGCAATGTGATCCTGCAGTTCGAATTTGGGTCCAGTAATGGGGCTTGTAGTGGGCGCATGTTAAGAGTGTTTCATTATCATGTCATTTTCTGTAAAAGGTTTTGTTTCCCTTGCTATTTCTTTGGGCACTAGAAGCTCACAGTATGACTTGTATTGTTAGGGCAGTCTCAGTGCTCAATCTTGGACTATATCTTAATCATGACACCTAAGCAAAAATCTGATGTGCTACCTATTTAATTAACGATGAAAGAGAGAGTTACCATATCTTAATATAGATATAGCTCTTAGCACCAAAACCAAGACAACTCATACTTTTTCTTTCTCAAAACATATTAAATGAGAGCTCTTTTAGATACAACAATAAGATATATTCCATTGGAGGAGCTATATCTAAGTACATATTTAATGCATATGATATAACCTAGGATATAATGCATTGGGAGAGCCCTTGGTGCTGATGAGGGCATGCACAATAGTTGTTGAAAGATAGTCTTTCTGTGCCCTTCATGTTATCTTTAGCAATTAATGTTTGCGTACTCCTAAAATTATGGGTGATTTAGAAGTAAACTACTAGTAAATATGTAACTAAGAGAAGACATATCTTACAATGCAAAAAGTTATCATAACCTTCTTACTAAGGGCTCATTTGGTTGCAGTGGATCCCTCTGGGATCTCCACTTAAAATCATGGCGCAGAAACCATGGGGCAAGTTTTAGTAATGGTCAAATCTTGGATCCTCTATAAATATCCTCCCATACCCCTTGGTGGCTGAAATCATCCATACTCATTTGAAGTCATTCCACTCACTCATTCCACCCCTTGCAAGCCACTCAAACCACTTCATCCATCAACCACCAGAAGTGATGAAGAGAGATTCAAGGCAAGAAAAGAAGAGAAGTGTTGGGTGATTCCTTGATCACTTCTTTGATTCTTTGAAGGCCAATAATTTCCTTTTTCTGAATCCCTACACCTTCAAGTTCATCTCTTTCACCACAATCCTATTCTTGTGAGAGAGTGTTCTCTTAGATTCATGAGGTGCTTTGATTGAATGTCATTTGAGGAGTTCTTGTCAAGTGACTTTGCTTTGCTTGCTCCTCTTGGATGGTGTGTGTGCATCCTAGACGGTTAGGAGTCACTTGAGAGCCTATCATTTTCTACATGGCTCGGAGATGGCCTACTTGGTGAAGATCTACCCCTTAGTTAGGCTTATTGGTGCAATCCATGATTGTATAGGTTGGTTGTGCTCAGTGGGCCGCTTAGAGCATCTCTAGCAGACCCCTTATACCGCGGACCTGTAAAGTGAGTTTACAGTTCGCAGCAAGCCTCGGATACGGGCTGAAAACAGCCCGGCAAAACAGAAACTTAAATGAACCTGTAAATTTTGAAAGCAGAACTTCGCGGGAGAAATCAGTAGAACTAGTAGCGCTCATATTTACTTGATCATCATACATATTTCATACATAGCCTATTTGTACAAAATAGATCGGAGGAGCGGCGGCCACTGTAAACCCTACTGCCAAAATTTTGCTCACCGGAGCCATCCGGGTGCTGCGGCGGAGGAGCTCAGTCGTCGTCGGAGGAGGAGACGAGGTCGATGTAGATGTCGTCCTGCGCCTTGGCCTCGCGGCCCCATGCCTCCAAATTGTCGTCGAACTCCTGCGCCTCGTGAGCCCTTCCTCGAGGAGGAATGCGTCGAGGTCGACTTCCCGTCGACGACGCTGCTCCGCCTCCTCCTCCTCCCGCGCACTGCGCGCGACGATGGCGGACTCAAAGATGTCCGCCTCCGCCGGGGGAAGGAAATCCTCCGGCCAGATGACGCCACCGCCCCCCCGTTCCGGCTCCGGCTCTAGCTCCATCTTCATCAGGCGGAGCGGCGGGAGCTCCTCCGGATCCCTTTTCACCGGCATGAGCGGCGTACAGGAGCTCAACCCACCGGCGGAGCTGCTCACGCCGGAGGACAGCCGCGCCTGCTTGCGGTCATACTCCTCCGTCTCACGTGGAGGAGCGACAGCTACGGCTCTAGGCCGCGGTTCGTGTACTTCCGGGTGGCTTGCTTCCTCGCGCTGTCGACTATGACGCACCGCTGCCGCTCGGGGTCGTCGCCCCCGCCGGCGCGGCCGCCCGAGCTCCACATCCCGCGCCACA